TTGGTAGAAAGCACGGGCCTAGAATTTGTCTTTTCCCCCACCTTGTCTCCTTCAAAATCTTTTTTTTGGGGAGTAATTAAAAAATCGATATACCAGAGAGATCCAAGATGGCTGATCACTAGCAGCTTGGGATTGTAGCTCCCAGTGAAAGCGCAGAGAACGAGAGGACGACATACTTTCAGACGAATTTTTGTTGCTCATGCACCAGGAGATTCCCAGCGGAGGAGCACCACGGGTTGCCAGTGCAACTCTTGTGGCCGGCTACACGGTTTTGCCGCTGCCTTGGTGCAGTGGTTCTTGGTGCAGAGTCAGAAAAGCACCATCAATCATAACGCCGCTGTTTTGGCCGGCGCAGTGGGTTGCTCAGATTTTAGCGCTGGGAATCAACAAGTTGGACGTCCTCTCAGAAACCCAATTGTAAAGACGGTAATTATAAAGACCACAGATGGATAAATTTATAACGAAGGGAAGAAAACGGCCTAAAAAGGCTGAGAATACCCAAAATCAGAACACCTCTCCCTCTACAGGGGATCACAGCTCCTCATCAGCAATGGAACAAGGCCTGATGGAGAACGAGTGGGTTCCATTAACAGAAGCAGCCTTCAAAAGGTGGATGATAAGAAACTTCTGTGAATTAAAAGAACTTGTTCTAACCCAAAGCAAAGAAACTAAGAACTTTGAAAAAAGGTTCGATGAATGTTAACAAAAATACACAATTTAGAGAGGAATATAAGTGAATTAATGGAGCTGAAAAACACAACACGAGAACTTCGTGAACTATGCACAAGTTTTTTTTTTTTTTTTTGTAGATTACATTTTTTATTTTTATTTTTTTCATTTTGCTTTTTTTTTTTTTCCCATTTATTTTATTGCATTTTAGGTTTTGGGGTACATGTGAAGAACATGCAAAATTGTTGCATAGGAACACACGTGGCAGTGTGATTTGCTGCCTTCCTCCCCATCACCTACATCTGGCATTTCTCCCCTTGCTATCTCTCCCCAGCTTCCCACCCCCCACCATCCCTCCCCTATTTCCCCCCAACTGACTCCAGTGTGTAGTGCTCCCCTCCCTGTGTCCATGTGTTCTCATTGTTCAACACCCGCCTATGAGTGAGAACATGCGGTGTTTGATCTTCTGCTCTTCTGTCAGTTTGCTGAGAATGATGGTTTCCAGGTTCATCCATGTCCCTACAAAGGACCCAAACTCATCGTTTTTGATGGCTGCGTAATATTCCATGGTGTATATGTGCCACATTTTATGCACAAGTTTTAACAGCCGAATCGATCAAGCAGAAGAAAAGATATCAGAAGTTGAAGACCAACTTAATGAAATAAAACAAGATGACAAGATTAGAGAAAAAAGGATAAAAAAGAACGAGCAAAGTCTCCAAGAAATATGGGACTATGTGAAAAGACCTAATCCACGCTTGATAGGTGTACCTGAATGTGACGAAGAGAATCAATCCAAGCTGGAAAATACACTTCAGGATATTATTGAGGAAAACTTTCCCAACCTAGCAAGGCAGGACAATATTCAACTCCAGGTAATACAGAGAACACCACAAAGATATTCCTCAAGAACACCAACCTCAAGGCACATAATCGCCAGATTCACCAGGGTTGAAATGAAGGAGAAAATACTGAGGGCAGCCAGAGAGAAAGGTCCCTATAAAGGGAAGCCTATCAGACTCACAGCAGATCTCTCAGCAGAAACCCTACAAGCCAGAAGAGAGTGGGGGCCAATATTCAACATCCTTAAAGAAAAGAACTTTCAACCCAGAATTTTACATCCAGCCAAACTAAGCTTCATAAGCGAAGGAAAAATAAAATCTTTTGTGAACAAACAAGCACTCAGAGATTTCATCACCACCAGGCCTGCTTTACAAGAGCTTCTGAAAACCACTACACATAGAAAGGAACAACCAGTATCAGCCTTTCTAAAAAAATACCAAAAAGTAAAGAGCATCAACATAATCGAGAATTTACATCAACTAATAGGCAAAACAGCCAGCTGACATTAAATGGCAGTATTAAACTCACATATATTATTCTTAATTCTAAATTTAAATTGACTAAATCCCCCAATCCAAAGACACAGACAGGCAAAAAAGCCAAAACCCATCGGTATACTGCATCCAGACCCATCTCACATGCAAGGATACACAAAGACTCAAAACAAAGGGATGGAGAAACATTTACCAACCAAATGGAGAGCAAAAATAAATAAATAAATAAAAAGCAGGAGTTGCTTTAAAGCAACAAAGATCAAAAGAAGCAAAGAAGGATATTACATAATGATAAAAGGACCAATGCAACAAGAAGAGCTAAAGATCCTAAATATATACACACCCCATACAGGAATACCCAGATATATAAGACTTATAAAGAGACTTAGACTCCCACACAATAATAGTGGGAGACTTCAACATCAATTTTAGACAGATCAGTGAGACAGAAAAGTAACAACGATATCCAGGGTTTGAACTCAGATCCGGAACAAGTAAACTTAACATTTATAGAACTCTCCACTTGAAATACACAAAATATACACTCTTATCAGTACCACATCACACCTATTTACCGGTTTAAATGAAATATTGGTTGGCTGCTTGTTTGTTATTTTCTTCCCTCATTTTTTTTTTTCATGTCTCTATTATTAAGCACAATTATAGGCATACCCATTTTTAGACTACATTCTAGCCCGGGCAATAAAGCAACACCCTCGTTCTCTCTCCCTCTTCCTCTTTCTCTTTCTTCCTCTCCTTCATTCTTTTTTTATTCTTTTTTTTCTTTCTTTCTTTCTTTTTTTTTTTTAAAAAAAAATCGATATACCATGGTTGTACATATTTATGAGGTATATGTGCTATTTTGATTCGCGCATACAATGCGTAATGATCAAGTCAGCGTAATTGGGATATCCATCACCTCAAACGTTTATCTTTGTGTGGAGAACATTATAATTCTTCTCTTCTTGCTATTTTAAAAATACAATAAATTATTAATTTTAATTTTCCTACTATACTATCAAATACCGGAACTTATTCCTTCTATCTAATATACTTTTGTATCTGTTAACCCAATTTCTCTCTGTTCGCTTTTCCTCTTCCCTTCCCAGCCTCTGGTAACCATCATTCTACTCTCTACGTTCCTGAGGCCAGCTTTGTTAACTCCAGTAAGAGTGGGAATGTGCAATTTGTGTCACCCTCCTTCGAAACTCTTACCTGTAAGGACTTTCTTCCCCTCTTCTCTTTTTTGCCTTCCCTTTTGTTATGTAGGTTAACACAGCTTTATTTATTTTTATTTTTTAGCACTGCGGCATCTGACTCAATAATGCAGCTTTTATTCTTCTTCCGTGATTCTGGAGTTTAAGCAGGCTTCTGAGTCGCATACTGAAAGGCCGAGAATGTTGTGGATATAAATCTGTGAATACTTAGCAAACCATATTTTTTTCTTTGCCTCATTAACTGTTTATTGTAATGTATACAACAGCCAGTCTGATGTTAGAATAACATATTTACTACCTTGGTGCTACCTAGTTTTATGGGGCTACCTCTAGGGCCTTCTGGAAAGCGCCTTATAAAAAGTTTTTCATTTCTACTAATACTGTCATGTTCAGATCCTGCCTAGATGAGGGACATAGGCATGAAAAACAATGCAGAAATGTTGAGAGGAAGGTACTCAGGGAGGTTTGAAATATAGTTGACAGGCGGGGTGCAGTGGCTGTCTCCTGTAGTCCTAGCATTTTGGGAGGTTGAGGCAGGTGGATCGCTTGAGCTCAGGAGTTTGAGACCAGCGTGGGCAACATGGTGAAACCTGTCTCTACTAAAAACATAAAAATTAGCCATGCATGGTGGTACACATCTGTAGTCCCAGCTACTCGGTAGGCTGAGGTGGGAGGATCACCTGAGCTTGGGAAGTTGAGGCTGCAGTGAGCCGAGATTACATCACTGCACTCCAGCCTGGGCAATGAGAGCTTTCTAAATAATAATGAATAATAATAATAATACCCTTGCTATGTGAAAAAAAAAAAAGGGGGAGAAAAGGAAATATACTTGATATAAGGATACTGCATGTTTTGTTGGCTCTTCATTTATTTGGAAGGAAGATCAGTAAGTGAAAAGAATCCTATATTCCACAGTTATTGACTATAATACCACTAAAATTATCCAGGATGGTAAGGAAATTAAATATTCTGGTGAAGTGAATGTTTGTGAAATTAAATTAACAAACATTACAACTTTCATTTTAATAATTTTGAATGGAAGTATTTCATAATCAATTACAACCCCCCGTCTTAATATTCGGAGAGTGCTGAATAGCATGTATACTTTTCTTAGGTTCTTTGTTGAACTGAACTGCGTTATTCTGGGGCAGGGAGAGGTAAATAACTAAGATTTACTGAGTAGCTGCTCTGCCAGGAGTTGTGCTTTGTATTACGATGGCTCTTGTTATTTAACCCGTAGTGTCCCCCAGCCCAGTTCACGGAAGTCTCTGTGTTTTACCTACCGGGTAGGCTTATACACATGTTAATTAGGTAGGTGGCCTGCCCTGTCTAGTAAGTCACAGAGCTGGTATTTGAACTCCAGCAGTTTGGTACTAGAGGCCATGCTTTTAACACTTGGATACTAATGTAAACTTCACCTCAGCACTCTGGGGTAGACATTATCATCCCCATTTTACAGGTGTGGAAACTGAGGCTCAAAAAAGTTAAGTAACACTTCAAGTCAGCTGGTATATGGCTGACATTTCTTTTTTCCTAGAACTCTTTTATATTGGCCCAGGTAAGGCTTGCATTTGCCTGTCAATGAAACCGTTTCTTTCGTCTTTCTTTGGCTCGCTTATCCTCCCTTTTCTTTCTCCAGAAAACATCTTTTGTAATCATGAGGCAATATTGGAGTGATTGGGTTTCCCACGTTACAAAATGTGCTCTGAGATCATTTGGAGAAACACAGGCTTTGCAGAGTTTATATTCTGAACCCATTGAAAACTTTGTTTTCCAGAGAGATTGGAACAATTATCAGGTCATTGGGATGCTGCCCTAGCGAAGGAGAGCTGCACGATCTGATTGCAGAGGTGAGTCGGGGAAACGTTTCACTCAGCATTCTCTCCTGAGACAGCTACTCCTTGTAATTAGCAACAACCCTTCCTGAAACTGAAACAATGCCCTAAACTACTGAATGTGCTCAGTGGAAATTCCAGGATAACTATTCATATTAGCCAGCCAACAGGATCTGAGAGAATTAAGAGCAGATCTTGAAGAAATGACGATGAACAAGTAGCACGTAAAGAACCCACTTTAGAAACGATCCTCTCTGTAAAATTAGTTAAGCAAGGCCAGTAGATGCAAGGGGCTGACCGTCTGCGGAAAGGCTATTGACAGATGAAAGGAATACAGTAAATAATGCCAGTTCAAAGGGGAGAGAAGCAGAAATACAGACAGTAAGGAATTTTTATTTATTTGAGGAAATAACACTTTTTTTTTCTTTTGAGATGGAGTTTCGCTCTGTCGCCAGGCTGGAGTGCAGTGGCGCGATCTTGGCTCATGACAGTCTCCACCTCCTGGGTTCAAGCAATTCTCCTGCCTCAGCCTCCCGAGTAGCTGGGACTACAGGCATGTGCCATCACATCCAACTAAATTTTGTATTTTTAGTAGAGATGGGGTTTCACCATTTGGCCAGGATGGTCTTGATCACTTGACTTCAGTATCTGCCCGCCTCAGCCTCCCAAAGTGCTGGAATTACAGCCGTGAGCCACTGCGCCCAGCCAAAACTAACTTTTAGAACAAGTAGTAAACAGAATAAATATTAAGAGTGAACTTTACATTGACCAGAATCTAGGCATTTTAAAGACTAGGCACGTGTAACAGTGGGGATGAGTTGGTGAAGAGAATGATCTGATAAAGCAGTGTGTGAGCAGCCCGACATGAGAGCGCTTCATGCTCTGTTTGACTGTCCATAAAGGTCTCTGATCTCATTTCAAATGCAGCATTTGGTTCAACAAAACAGAGACCTTAAGGGGAAAAGGCTGCCTGGAGAAGTCAGGAGAAGAATCTTTAGAGCATTGCTTATCTAGCCACAAAGATTTTAGTGGCGTCTGGGGATGACAAGGGGGATAAGAGAGACAGGTAAGGAAGGAGAATTTCATCTTTTTCTTTTGCACCTAGCACAGTATTTGCTTGTTCCATATTAAGTTGGAGAGAAGAAATTGTGACCTTGGGTGAGTCACTGAACCTCTGTTGGGTGTCAGTTTCTCCATAATAATAACTACTTCAAAGTTTGCTTCAAAGATAAATGAAAGAAGGTACAACAATACGTGTTTTGAATCCTAAAGCATTATAAAAAGTTAAGGAATGAAAGATTAGAAAGATGATTCTGTTGACAGTTATTAGCACCTTGGTGACTAAAAAGCAGTATCAATTTTTTTTTTTTTTTTTTTTTTTTTTTGAGATGGAATCTCACTCTGTCACCAGGCTGGAGTGCAGTGGTGCAATCTCAGCTCACTGCAACCTCTGCCTCCTGGGTTCAAGTGATTTTCCTGCTTCGACCTCCCGAGTAGCTGGGATTATAAGTATATTCCACCATGTCCAGCAACTTTTTGTATTTTTAGTAGAGATGGAGTTCCACCATGTTAGCCAGGATGGTCTCGATCTCTTGACCTTGTGATCTGCCCGCTTCAGCTTCCCAAAATGCTGGGATTACAGGCATAAACTACCATGCCTGGCAGTATCAATTTTTTTAAGCCTTTAGAAATATTCAGTAAAGGAATCTAAGTTGTAAGAACACATTGTTTTTACATTTTAGGATTCAGTAAAGCTATTTTTACCAAGAGGAAGAGAAAAAGTTTGTTTTTCCTGAGTTGATGCTCACATTAAAAAAAAATACTGATTACTGCCTTGAAGGGTTTATGCACGAAGCTGGAATTAGTGTTAGGGAAAAGCAAGCTGGCATGCGGAAGAGCTAAGAACTAGAGGCTGACTTCACAGTGAAATCATAGTCATCATATGCTCAAGAAAGTAAGCAGAACAATAAAGAAAAATAAAAATGCCTCTGAAGGTCAGAGGAGGAGAATCTCTAGAGCCTAGTCCCTTTATGGTTTGTTTGTATGTTTTAATCTCTGTCAGGAGTCAGCAAATCATGGTGCCTGGCCCAATCCTGCCCACCACCTGTGCATGTAAATAAAGTTTCATTGGAACACAGCTAAACTCATTTATTTACATGCTATCTATGGTTGTTTTCTGACTACAAGGGCAGAGTTCGGTAGTTGCAACAAAGACCTGTGACTTGGAAAGCTTAAAATATTTACCATCTGGCCCTTTGCAGAAAAAGCTTGCCAACTCTTCATCTATGGGTTTCTGTGCCAAAAGAGAGCAAATACCACATCTAGAACTGGAAGATCTGAGTTCAAGCCCCACAGCCACCACTTATAGCCATGTGGCCTTTAGTGAGCCACTTAATCCTTCAGAGCCTGGTTCCACATCTGCAAAAGGAGTAATAATATGAAAATGTTTTTTATGAGTATTAAATTTAATAACTGAGGAATCAGCTGTTACTTAGTAGGCATGCAGTACAGATTTGAGTTTGTTTACACTCCAGATGGCTCTCTAGGATAATATCTCCACTGGTTTGGGCAATTAGCCACAGTGGGTGCTTAGGTCTTAAGTTTTATTTTATTTTTACCCTTTTTTAGGCACATGGCACAACCTTTGAAATGCAGATATTTAGAATACTTATATACCCATAAGTGGTCACTGAACTATTAAGCTCTGTAAATATTTTTCTGTATTTGTATACCAACACTATTTACTCTAATTAAATTGTAGTGATAAACAGCTTTGGGTACAACTACCTTTTAAGAACTTTTCCACTCAGGCTGGGCGCGGTGGCTCACACCTGTAATCCCAGCACTTTGGGAGGCCGAGGCGGGTGGATCACGAGGTCAAGAGATCGAGACCATCCTGGTCAACATGGTGAAACCCCGTCTCTACTAAAACTACAAAAAATTAGCTGGGCATGGTGGCGCGTGCCTGTAATCCCAGCTACTCAGGAGGCTGAGGCAGGAGAATTGCCTGAACTCAGAAGGCGGAGGTTGCAGTGAGCCGAGATCGCGCCATTGCACTCCAGCCTGGGTAACAAGAGCGAAACTCCGTCTCAAAAAAAAAAAAAAAAAAAAAAAAAAAAAGAACTTTTCCAAATAAATGAGTGGGAAAAAAGCACAAATTTGAATTCATAAATACAAGTATGTATTTGTACATACTTAAATACATTAAATAGTTAATATATGTAAACACATTTAGAAAATCAAAGCCCCATAAAAGTCACCATCTAGGGGTAAATGTCATATTGCTAAATGTTCTGTAATAGTTTGAGAGATCAAACTATTTAACTGTATGTGTGTATATGCTTTAATATTGTTCTATAAGGCTGGGTGCAGTGACTTGCTCCTATAATCCCAGCACTTTGGGAGGCTGAGGCAGGTAGATCACTTGAGGTTAGGAGTTTGAGACCAGCCTGGCCAACATGGTGAAAACCCATCTCTACTAAAAATACAAAAAAATAGCTGGGCGTGGTGGCACATACTTGTAATCCCAGCTGTTTGGGAGGCCAAGCAGGGAGGATCACTTGAACCTGGGAGGCAGAGGTTGCAGTGAGCCAAGATCGTACCACTGCACTCCAGCCTGAGTGACAGAGCAAGACTCTGTCTCAAAAAAAAAAATCGTTCTATAAAAAGTTGAAACCTGTGTACTCGTTCTCTGGTTGTCATGTACTTGACTTTTAGTGTCGACACATTCTTTTCTCTTTAATTTTTATAACTTTCAGCCCTTTGCTTCCTGAAGATCAATTTCAAATCTGGTGTTACTCTTGAAATTGATCATTTAAAGAATCATTTAACTTCGATCCTTACAGTTCATGTTCTATAATTAGTAACTTCCTGCAAATAGTTTCTGCCTTTTGGAATATCACAAAAACTGGCAGCTGTGAGGATGAGTAAAAAATCTTACTGACATATAGGCTACCAAATAATCCTTCCTTTAATATTAAATTAGAACCTTCTAGGAGTTTCAGGGTATGGGAGCTGGAAGGAGATAATTTCCATACAAATGGAAAGGTTATTTAGAGGTCTGTGTCTTGTGGAATTGCGGAGAACTTAAATTAATTACAAAGTAAAACTAAAAGATGATTTAAAAATAAAACCTGTGTTGGTAACATTATTGACTCAGGCTTAGGAACTAAGCAAGGATTATGACTTTATTGAGGTGGCCATCCGCAGCCTCCGCCTCCCCACGCTTGCCCTTTTGTGGTTGTGGATATCGGGCAGCACCTTGCTGGCGGCCCGTCTGTTGCTCCTACGCATGCTGTGTTCTATTAACCATCTCCAGCTTGCCCTTTGGCTCCCTCTTCAATCTTTCTGGCCATTGTACGCGGCCCCCTTGACTTCTGTGCTCAAACAACTCTGCCTGGCCTCTGTTACCTGGGTATGGGAGAGCTGGCTAGCAAATCATTCCATGGATTTAACAAACCCAGGTCTGCAGTTACCTAAGCTAGTCAGCCCCAGCCTGCAGAAGACACCATGACAGAACCTAGTGACACCAGTGCCTTTCTCACCAGCCCGATGCCCTTGGTGAGCAGTGCGTCTGAGCCCTCCCATGGCACAGAATCCTCCGGTGAGTCTTCTGACTCGTTGGACGCCGTTCTGCCCGCCCACTGCTGTCGGCGTGGTTCGGCCACTTCACTCTGTGCCCGGTGGCACTCGTTCCAGGTCTCACCCTAGCAGCAAGTTTGCCCCATCTCCTGGGGGCCTTGCCAGAGTGTTAAGTCTGTGTCCTGCGGAAGTGCCTGAAGTTGATGAATTCTTACTCATCCAGTTTTTTATTCCGGGAGTCTTGGTCAGGCACTGTCATCCAGTCTCAGGGGTACTCCCCTAGCTCCTCGTTCAGGAGCCAATTCCTACCTAATTCCTTTTGCTATTAAATTTATCACTAGAATTTGATTAGAGTAAATTGTGTTGGTACAAATACAGAATAATATTTACAGAGCTTATTCCAGTTGCTACCTAATTCCTTTTTGCTATTTTAGTGTATAGTCTTTTTCTTTCCTTATTACACCCAGTGCTTCCTCAGCCAGGTTATGCTGGGATTTAACACTCCATTATCAGCTGGAGCAGCCCATGGGAAGTGTGGCCGTGGCTCAAATACGATGGCTGGGATCATCACTCAATTACATTTCCTGCAATTCAAAGCCTATAGATTTAAGAGGTGCATTTCATTGGGAGGCTGAGGTGAGAGGATTGCTTGAGCCCAGGAGTGAGACACAATCTTGGGTCACTGCTCTCCAGTCTGGGTGACAGAGCTGGATCTCAACTCTTTTTTTTTTTTTTTTTTTTTTTTGAGATGGAGTCTTGCTCTGTCGCCCAGGCTGGCGCGATCTCAGCTCACTGCAACCTCCACCTCCCAGGTTCAAGCAGTTCTCCTGCCTCAGCCTCCTGAGTAGCTGGGAATACAGGTGTTTGCCACCACGCCTCACCAATTTTTGTATTTTTAGTATATAAGTGTGAGCCACTGCATCCGGCCCAGCTCTCAACAGGAACAAAGGAAGGAAGGGAGGGAGGGAGGAAGGAAGGAAGGAAGGAAATTGAATTTTCATGGCTGCCATAGTTGTCAAATGGAAGAGCTATAATGTGAACCAGGTGTCCAATGGACAAATATGACCAAAAGGAGTTGGCTGCTCTCTCTCCTCCTAAGCTCACTAGTGCCTGCCTCTAGCTTTCAGGATTACATCAAAGCATAAAACTACTTAGGAATGAAATGAAGGTCCTCATCAGATCCAAGGAGTGGGGGAAGATTGAGCAGAAACTTGACCAGCACATGGTAAAGATAGGCCAGTGGTGGATAAGAATAGGCCAGGCTTATCCTGGAATTCTGTTCTTGGGTAAAAAGAGGATGCCATGGCAGGGAGACCGTGGCACTGATAGTCCTCAGCACAGCTGTCCCTTTAGACAACTGCCGTCAATATGTGATGGTGACCTCGACATCTGTGCGTAGCCATCATTCCCGGATCTTGGTGGTATTCCTGGGAGTCACTATTTTCCTTCTGGGTTGGACTTCTTTATATGCCAGGTTTTCTTCTTTCTAGTTCCTCTAGCCTTTTAACACATTCTTAACAGCTCTTGGAAAAAGAGTGCCCTGGAGGTAAAATTTTTGAGATTTGTATGTTTGAAAGTGATTATGCTAGCCTTTGGCTAGACATAGAGTTCTACAGTCAATGGATTTTTCTTCATTAAATGGACTTGGATTTTTGGGGTCTTCACTCCGGGTTCTGAAGGCACTCCTCGTCTTCATGTTCCTGCTAATGCTGTTGAGATAGTGCAAGTCCATTCTGATTCCCAATCCTTTGTATGTCACCCTCAATTTTTTTTTTCCTGAGACCCTGGACAGTCTTTTTTCCTCAGTATTTGAAATTTCACAGTGATTTACCTAGGTGTGAACACATATCTTATGTGTTAGGTACCTGGTGGGCCTTTTCAAACTGGTAACTTGTATCTTTTGGTTCCAGGAAATTTTCTTGTGATTATTTTGTTTTCTTTTTTCTCTCTTTTGGAACTCCTATTATTCGTTTTTGTGTTTCTGGACTAGTCTTCAATATTCTTTTTTGTTTATTTATTTTATTTTTAGTAGAGACAGACAGGGTTTTTACCACGTTGGCCAGGCTGGTCTCGAACTCCTGACCTCAAGTGGTCCGCCTGCTTTAGCTTTCCAAAATGCTAGGATTACAGGTGTGAGCCACTGCGCCCAGCCTAATGTTCTTAGTTTTCATTTATTTTTCATCTCCATCTTTTTGTTCTCTCTGGTGGATTTCTTGAACCTTCTCTTTCAGTATTTTTATTGAGTTCTTGTTTCATATCTTTGAAGATAATAGTGGTAGTTTATTTGAAGTTTTTTTCTCTTTGCCTAATGTATTTTCTCCAAGTTGCTGTCTGTGTGTGTTCTGGTCTTTGTTTTTGTTAGCAGCTCTCCTCCGTGTCTGATAAACCTTGGCTGTCAGTCCACAACAGACACATGCATGGAACTTGGCAACTTGAAACTTAATCACTGGGTAATCTGGGAATCACCAACATCAGAATTTTGGGGATTTTCTCTTGTGCAGCCTTGATTCTTTGGAATTGTCTTCAATTTTCTGCTTAGAGGCAAAAAGCATCTTGCTGCCAGTTCAGACACCTTCTGTTTTACACTCTTTAGAAGGTGAATCTCTAAACTCCTGCTGGGATGGAGGGAGGCACTCAGTGGGAAAAACTGAGAGGGGACTTATAGCTTTTCAGATATGTTTTACCCCAGTTCTCCTAATTTTCGTTCCTGCTCCCTCGTGCTCATTTCCAGAAGTGACTAACGCTTTCTGAGGATTCTTTACCCACTGCTGTGTTGGGTTCAGTTTTCTAGATCTACTAGATTACTGCTACTCATCCGTCTGCTTCACAGCTTCCAACATAAGCCATATTCTAGTAGTAATTAGACTTCTTGTCCTTCACCTTCTGCCCTAATACTTAATATAGTTTAGCACAATTATTAGATCTCTAATAAGAGTAAGTTCTATAAATGCTGGTACCAGAATGTGTGGAGATTCAGGCTTGCAGAGCACTGCAGAGCTAGATCTGACTCATGTGCACAAAAACTCCAAGTTTATGGTAAGTCAAAGTAATTTAAAATGATTGTGAGCTGGTATTCACTCACTCAACAAATCATTAGTGAGCATTTTCCATATGTCAGGAACCAAGGACACCTGGGAAAGAAAACCAGAAAAAAAATCCCCATGCCAATTTGGGTCGGGATAATTTAAAACATTTTAACAATGTGAACAGCAAAATTTTCAACACATTTCTTTCTTTTTTCTTTTCTTTTCTTTTTTTTTTTTGAGACAAGATCTTGCTCTGTTGCTCAGGCTGGAGTGCAGTGGTACAATCATGGCTCACCGCAGCCTCCACCTCCTGGGCTCAGTCCTCCCACCTCAGCCTCCTAAGTAACTGGGACTACAGGCGTGCGCCACCACATCTAGCTAATTTTTTTTTTTTTTTTTTTAATAGAGATGGGTTTTCACCGTGTTGTCCAGGCTGGTGTCAAACTCCTAAGCTCAAGCATTCCGCCTGCGTCTTCCCACCAAATACTGGGATTACAGGCGTGAGCTACTGCACCCGGCCCAATACATGCATTTAAAAATATTTGAGATGGTATTCAGTCCCTACTCATTTAGCTAAGTGAGGAAACCCACAAATAAATATTAAGAGGTTTTTTTTTTTAATACCTGTGATCAGTGTTTAATGTCAAATTTATAGTGTTGAGACAACTGTGATGTCAAAGTGTGATCGATACTCTCTAGTAACCAGTTAAAATAATGTAATGACACTACTGAATCATTTCCTGCACCATTCATCTTGGATGGAAAGTATCAAACCACACCAGGCATTCCACGTGTCCCAGAGGTCCCAGGTCTTCATCTCTCATCATTCTTAATTGGTTAAGTATCATTGAATTTTTTTTTCTTTGAAACTTCACAATTGGCTTTTGAGTTACTAGAACAAGATCTACGTAATCTACATCCTGGTGAAGTGGGAATTTCTAGCCACTTGTACCTGAACTACATCATTTTGGCTCTAGAGGAGCCCTGGGATTTTATATCATTTGTAATTTGACTGTATCAAGTTTCTCAGAGAATGAGAAAGGGTGGGAGTCATTATTTTCTTGTTTTGAAATAGTTGGTGATATGAAATGTTTTATCTGCTATTGTTCCTACACATCCTGGCACTGGGAGACAGGGGAGAATGGAATCGATCTGCTCTAATCTTTTTAATGTTAGATGCTGGAATTTAGTTATAGAGCTGATGGCACTTTGCCTATTAGTAATGGCTACTGTCCAGCCATACCTTCTGAGTAGAGTTAGGTAAATTTGGGGGAATGAGGAGAATATGTTGTAAAAAGCGTATACTGAGAGTATTGCTTATTTGTAATTGGTAGAAAAACATTAAATGATGCTAAAGCAGGATGATCAGTAGCAGGAAAACATGACTCAGGGAAATCTGCAAAAGTGTTTTCTTCCTCTAATACATAAATAAAATGTGTTTTCACGTAGAGCACAATCAGTCATGGTAATAGGCTAGTAAGTACGGTTTTATTCCAGGTTTCTTATTGTATAAGTAATATCCAGATTACAGAAAATTTTAAATAAATAGGAAATCCTTTCCAACAGCGCCATCACTTTAATAATTGTTAATATTTTGTACACTTCCTTACATATTATTTTTCTGTGTAGGTTTTTAACTGGACTGTAATTTTTTGTTGTTAGCTTATTCTTTTTTTTTTTTTTAGAGACTGGGCCTTATTCTGTTACCCAGCTGGAGTACTATGGCACGATCATAGCTCACTGCAGCCTTGAATCCTGGACTAAAGTGATCCTCCCATCTCAGCCTTCCAAATAGCTGAGACCACAGGTAGATGCCACCACTCCCAGCTAATTTTTTTTTCTTTTGTAGAGACAGGGCTTTGAAATGTTGCCCAGGCTGGTCTTGAACTCCTGGCCTCAAGCGATCTTCTCATCTCGGCCTCCCAAGTACAGGGATTACAGATGTGAGCATATGAGCCACCATGCCTGGCAGAACTATAATCTTACAGTACAATTCAGTAGGTAAAATTCTGAATCTTGCTTTTTTCCACCTAATTATATCACAAATTATATCTCTATGTTATTGCAGAGTTTTCATTATAAAAATGCACGCTAATTAAATTGCACAAGAAAAAAGGAAGAGAATGCTTTCTCTTGTATGCATCACTCAGACACAGCCAGAATATTTCACCTTTTTCACTCAGTGTTACAGCAAAATGATTTTTCCCTTCTGTTTGCTAGTTTTTAGGAACCAACATTTTAAGAAAGAAATGCTGTTATGTGAATGAAACCTAAGGATATTACACTGAGCAAAATAAATTACAGTTGACCCTGAACAACATGGGGGTTCAAAGCACTGACCCCCATGCAGTTGAAAATCCAAGTATAATTTTGCCTCCCCCAAAACTTAAACTAATAACCTACCATTGACTGGAAGCCTTATTAATAACATACACAATCAATTAACAAAGATTTTGTGTGTTATATGTATTATTTACTGAATTCTTACAATAAAGTAAGCCATAGTACATAGTAAAGAAAATATTATTAAGAAAATCATAAGGAAGAGAAAATATGTTTACTGTCCAAAAGTGGAAGTGAATCATCATAAAGGTCTCGTCCTCACTGTCTTCACGTAGAGTAGGCTGGGGAGGCGGAGGAAGAGGAGGGATTAGTCTTGTTGTCTCAGGGTAACAGGTGGAATAAAATCCATGGATAAGTGGATCTGTGATTTCAAATCCATGTTTGAGGGTCACCTGTAGTTATAAATATTAATGCACAAATACTGTATATTTCCACTTGTGAGGTATCCAAAATGGTCCAGCTCCGAGAAGCAGAGAGCACAGTGGCAGTGGCCGGGGAGTGTGGGGAGGGAAAAGGGAGCTGCTGTTCAGTGAGTACAGCGTTTCAGTTTTGCAAGAGAAAAAGTTCTAGAGATCTGTTACACGACAATGCACATGTAGTTAACACTGCTGTACTGTACACTTAAAAGTGGTTAAGATGGGCTGGGCATGGCAGTGCACCCCATAGTTTCAGCTACTTGGGAGGCTGAGGCTGGAGGATTGCTTGAGGCGAGGAGTTCGAGACTGGCCTGAGCAACATTGTGAGACCCTGTCTCCACATAAAAAAACTTAAAAATTAGCCGGGCATGGTGGTTTGTGCCTATAGTCCCAGCTACTTGGGAGGCTGAGGTGGGAGGATCCCTTTTGCCCAGGAGTTTAAGGCTGCAGTGAGCTACCATGGCACCACCGTACTCCAGCCTGGGCAACAGAGCAAAACCCTGTCTCTAAAAAATAAAAAAAATAAGCCAGTGAAGTATACAGAAGGTTATATATAGGTTATATGCAAATAGTGTGCCATTTTATATAAGGAAGTTAAGCATTTGCAGATTTTCATATCTATGAGGAGTCTAGGGACCAATCCGTCATGGATACAGAGTGACAAGTCTACTAATATCATTAATATTTTCCATGCCAGCATTCTACTATGGTAAGAGTTGAATTGCTTCCTAATATTTAATTATATGGCAATAACCATATTAATAAATAGAAACAATATTCAATTGAATAAATATCCCATATCACATATCTATTCATCTATCAGTAAAGGTTGCTAACAATTTTTAATATTGTGGATACCGTATGATCAACATTATTTGAATAAAGTATAGGCCGTTTTCAAGTTTCAGAGGGCCTTGTGAAGCAAGCTAAGGCAGTGATGGGTTACTGAAGGATTTTGGATGAGAATAACATGATGAGATTTGCATTTTATTTTAGTTCATATTTGTTTTTCTTGAATGAGATTGTACTTTGGACAAACCAGTCTGATGGCAGTAAGAAGCTAGGTTGGAGTAATTTGCAGTGATCCTTTCCAGGGGTCATAGCCGACAGCTTGGAGCCCTGTGCATTTGGGCAATGTTTTCCTAAATGCTTTTATCTGTCCCTTTTATTCAGTAAAACTTAATTGCCATGTTTCTGTTATGCTGTGGTCAGAATGTATGTGTCCCTCCAAAATTCATATGTTGGAACTTAAATCCCAAGGAGATAGTGTTAAGGCTCCCAGTGGAGCCTTTGGGGGACGATTAAGTCTCGAGGGTAGGCCCCTCATGAATGGGATTAGCAATGTTATAAAGGGCTGGAGGGAATTAGCGAGGCCCCTTTTTGCCCCTCCGTCCCTTCCGCCATGTTAGGTCACAGCTTTCATCCGCTCTGGAGGCCGCAGCATTCAAGGCACCATCTTGGAAGCAGAGACCAGTCCTTCACCAGACACCAAGCCTGCTGGTACCCTGATCTGGGACTTCCCAGCCTTCAAACTGCGAGCAATACATGTGTGCTGTTTGTACATTACCCAGTCTAAGGTATTTCGTCATAGCGGCACAATTGGACTAAGGCAGAAATTGGTCTTTGTGGGACTTGCTATAACAAATGCCCGAAAATGTAGAAGTGGCTTTGGAACTGGATAACGGGTAGAGGCTGGAGGACTCTGAGATGTATGATAGAAAAGCCTGAACTGCTGTGAACAGAGCACAAGAGGTGATTCTGGTGAGGGCTCAGAGAAGAGGTCTGTAGAGAGCGCCTACATCTTCTTAGAGGTGTTCTAATAGACAAGAACAGGAAGTTGGTAGAAATACGGATGGTAAGGGCAATTCTGATGAGGTTTCGGACAGAAATGAGGGACGAGGTACTGGAACCTGGAGGAAGGCCATCCTTGCTATAACAGCATGCTTGCTGTAATCCCAAATTGCTGGGATTACAGGTGTGAGCCACTGAGCCCAGCCTAGAATAAATAATTTTTCTAAAGTAAGTGGCTTTCAAGTTTTTTATTTGTAAAGACAACATTTTTAGTAAATGCCAATTAATTTTTGTGATCTTATTCTATTCAAAGGAGAGAAATATTTTCTAAATTGTATTCATGTTTTGGTTTTGAAATATAGTTTATGTCGAAATTTGTATATATACTATTTAGAGCCTAATGTGAACTATCTCGTAGTTTATATATTTTTTTACTACAAATAGTTAAAACAGATTCGAATGCGTTATCTCATTTGGTGACCTGGAACTAGTTGAAAGCACTAGTAGGTGCTTTATAAACCATCTTAACTACTGACATTATCTTGTTTTTTTGTGAAGCATGAAATAGTTCAGTTTATTGACTGATTGTTATGTCACTGGGGAGAAATGAATTTTCACGGTGTGTTTTCTTGTGCCTATTTAGTGGGTTCAGCATTAAAATAAATAATGCTGTTATGAGAAAAGAGATGGCCTGATGATTTCTCTATGGAAATGGAAGAACTCCAGGCCGTGATCCCATCAAAACACCTGACTGACTCTGACGCCCTCAAATAGGCACTTGACCTCTCTGTGACTGTGTTTCCTCAAATCCAAAACGGATTGAGAAAATTAACTTATCCAAAGTAGAGTGAGAAGCACAGTATTTGCCACATGCTTTGAGACTGAGATAAATGTTGGTATTATTTGAAAGTCCCACAGTATTTGTTGAGCTGGCTCCACGTGGGGGAGAGGAAGCAGGGACCGCAGAGTGCCGGGAGGCACCGTGTGAGCCTCATCCGGTCCCCTTTGTGTGGCAGTGAAGGCTGTATCTTTTCTTCAGGTCCCTACTCCACCTTAATTCTCTGGAGGAGGAGAAGCCAGGCGTGTGAGGCCGTGGTTTTCCGGTGGACATCTGCTGACACACTATTAAGATGAATTCCCTGCGAATGGTGCAGGAGTCTTCCGGCAGAGGTTTTTCCTTTACATTCACAAATGCTACCTGGGTTACTGTTAAATTACTATTCCTCGTTGGCCTTTCTCTTAGAAGAAACAAACTAGATTTAACTTACTTTGCCTGATTCATGTTTGCAGTAACAGGATGTATTTGTTTTGTGAGTTTCTTCTGTCTTTTGAAGAGGAGGGATGTGGAGTCCCGTGAATATTTTTTACTCTCGCTTTTTTCTTCAGTACGAAGAGGCCACGTGGGGAAACAGCAGCAGTGGAGGCGTGACTGCTAACCCGCATACCCTGTCCTCCATACGTGGGGCGAGGCACCAAGGGGTGAGGGAGGAAGGATGAAATGTGCCTAGCAGTTCCATACATTATCTGATTTAATTGCCACATTCCACGTGGCATTTTACAGATAGGTGGCAGAGCCGAACTTCTGTATACACAGGTGGGTCTACGTGGTGGGTCAGTGAGGATGTGCCTGAAATGTCAGCACCAGTGGTGGATTCTATTTGTTGTTGTTGTTGTTAAAACTAGAACATTTACTTCATGACTAATCGCTGAAAGTCTTACCATGCACTGGCTGCCGCAACAGCTGCCCTCTTGGGCTGAGGTGTTGTTCCTTCACAGAATCCATGCCTGAGTCTCCGGTATACAGTCTTGAGGTGCCTCATGTGACCAGTCCCGGGGGTATTTTGTCTTTCAGCCTCGGCACTCCAGCTGTACTTTCTCTTGCGTTTGGCGGGTTGGCCACACTTGCCACAGGTCCACTTCTGAAGGTGGTAGGCCTCAGAGCCACAGCGGCATGTCTTATTGCAACGCTCTCCAAATGATGACTTTCCCTTCGTCATCTCGTTTCTGTGGCCGAGACCAGCGGCCAGTGATTGATTGTTTTAGGAAATTGTGCATGTCATAGAACTGGAAGTGTGTACACATCTTCATCATCATAGACTCTCACAGCTCACAAAGCACCTTCATATCTCATGGAATCCTCACAGCCATCCTGGAGGTTACAGTTCCCCCTGCATTAGACATGGGGTGCTAAAGCTAGAGGGTGGATTTTAATAACATTCTTAACTATTCTTGGTCTAACATGGGGAGTATATTGTGATATTTTTCTATAAGGTAATGTCTTTTAAAATCATTTATCTATTTATTTACTTTTCATACCTAGTCCTGTAGATCATCCATTTTTAAAAAAAGACTCTGATACAGAAAGAAGTCAAGTGGATTTTCCCAACATAACTAACTTTGCACTAAGTGAAGAAAAGCAATGACTTTGTAGTCTTTTTAAACATGTCTGATGTAATTTACAGAATCTTTCTTGAATTCATTTAAGTATAATTGAGTTTTCTCCTGGAGAAATCTGGTCTGGATGGCACCATTTTTTCTGCATCAACTCTGTGAAGTACAGTGTTTGTTTGTTTTGGAGGCAGAATCTTGTTCTGTTGCCCAGGTTGGAATGCAGTGGGGTAATCTTGGCTCACTGCACCCTCCACCTCCTGGGTTCAAGCAATCCTCCTGCCTCAGCCTCCCCATTAGCTGGGACTACAGGTGTACACCATCATGCCCAGCTAATTTTTGTATTTTTAGTAGAAATGAGGTTTTGCCATGTTGGCCGAGCTGGTCTCAAACTCCTGACCTCAGGTCATCCACCCACCTTGGCTTCCCAAAGTGCTATGATTACAGGCGTGAAATACAGTTCTGAATTCTGAATATCTGCTAATCTCCAGCTGATAGGTATACAGCTTCTGCTTGATAGTGATTCAAAGTCTTTGGATAAAAATATGCCATTTATATTTAGAATATATGTTAGTTACAGTGTTTGCTGGAGCCACTTTAACAGTGCACCACACATAGTGGCTTAAACAGTAGAAACTTTTTGTCTCACAGTTCTAAAGGCTGAAAGTTTAAGATCAAGGTATCAGCATGATTAAACATCTGCCCTAGTCTTCTTGTTTTTCTTTTATGACATTGGAATACGCCATATTTGAAAAATGCGTTTTAGAAAAGCTAACGGAATCTAAATACAGTTTGGAGTTTAGTGACTATTAATGTATTAATATTGATTCATTAGTTATGACAAGTGTATTATAATGTAAGAGTTAATAATAGAGGAATTATATTACAAATGAAATTACAAATTATGTTACAAACCAATAGTAATCAAAACAGTGTGGTACTGGCATAAAAACAGTCATATAGACTGTTGGAACAGAATAGAAAGCCTATAAATGAAGCCATGCATAAATGGTCAGCTGATCCTCAACAAGAGTGCCAAGAATGCACGATGGGGAAAGGACAGTGTCTTCAATAAATGGTGATAGGAAAACTGTTACTTACATGGAGAAGAATGAAAGTGGATCCTTATCTCACACCATATACAAAAATCAACTCAAAATGGATTAACAATTTAAATGAGAGACTAGGAGAAAACATAGGGAAAATGCTCTTTGATATTGGTCTGGGCAATGATTTTTTGGATATGATACGAAAAGCACAGGCAACAAAAGAAAAAAATGAACAAGTGGGACTACATCCAACTGAAAAGTTCCTGCATGCAAAAGAAACAATCAGCAAAATGTAAAGGCAGCCTATGGAATGGGAGAAGATATTTGCAAACCATACATTTGATAAGGGGTTAACATTTCAATATATATAAGGAACTCAGACAACTCATTTGCAAAAACAAAAACGACCTAATTAAAAAATGGAGAAAAAGGAGCTGACATTTTTTTAAAGAAGATATAAGAATGTCCAACAGGTATATGAGCATCATTGTTCAACAAGGAAATGCAAACCAAAACCACAGTGGGATATCACCTCACACCTATTATAATGGCTGCTGTCAAAAAGATAAAAGTGTCAGTGGGAGTGTGGAAAAAGGAACCCTCATACCCTGTTGGTAGGAAGGTAAATCGGCACAGCGGCTATGGAAAATAGTATGCAGATTTCCCAAGAAACTAAAAGTAGAATTACCATTTCATCCAGCAATCCCACTTCTGGGTATGAGTCCCGGAAGAAATGAAATCCGACTCTCTGAGAGCTACTTGTATTGCCATGTTCATTGCAGTATCATTCACAGTAGCTGAGATGTGGAAACAACGTTGCCTGTAGACAAGTGAATGGATAAACAAAGGTGTGTGTATGCAATGGCATATTATTCAGCTTTAGAGAAGGAGATGATGCTATTTGCAACAACGTGGATGGACTTGGAGGACATTCGCTAAGTGAAATAAGCCAGACACAGAAAGACAAATACTGCATGATCTCTGTTATATGTAGAATTTTCAAAAGTCAAACTCATGGCAACAGAGAGTAGATGTGTAGCTAACCAGGGGCAGGGGTAGGGGAAATGGGAAAATGTTGGTCAAAGGGTACAAACTTTCAGTAATAAGAAAAACACTATCTGATGGACAGGGTGGTGACTATGGTCAATAATTATTCTATACTTGAAATTGGCTGAGTATATCTCAAGTAGTCTCACCACACATGCAAAAAAGGTAACTAGTGAGTTGATGGATATGTTAATTAGCCTGATTGTGGTAACCATTTCACAAGGTGTATGTGTATCAAAACATGTTGTACACCTTAAATATATGCAGTTTTTATTTGTCCATCATACCTCAATAAGGCTGGAAAAAAAATAGAGGAAACTGGGTGGCAGAGGTCTGTGGGAACTCTTTGTGTTATATTTGGAACTTTTCTTTATATTTAAAACTATTCTAAAATAAAGTTATTCAAATATAAACATCCTTTTAGGTTATAAAATAGTGTCTACATTAAACATTCCATGAATGCGGTACTTATAATTATTAAATAACTATATTGTTTTTAATGCCATTGTTTAAACATGTTTTTGTGCTCAAGAACAAATTAGATATGGCCTCTAGAGGACAGTGCTGGGTCATAGAAAGATTTTACAATTTCTGCCCAAGTTGAAGACAGTCACAATCATTTTTCTTCTTATTTTCTAACCACAAAGACTGTTTATTCATTATCCCTCTTAAAAAAACAACAATAACAAAGAACACTTGTGACTCATCTGCTGTTCTGACTGGTTGGCTGTTTTAACTTTTTTGTGTGTAATTTTGGCTCCACAAGGATCTATTAGGCAAGAAGGATGCTTACGTCCCTCAGGGTTTGTGCAAGTTGGACCCTGGGGAAGCGATATGAGGCATATATTATGTGTCATTGGTGAGTTCTTCCATGATGGAGACAGAATTATAGAGCTGACTTCCTTTGGAAAAACAAACAGTTTGTGGCTTGATGAGGGTGCATATAAGATGAAGAGCGCTCTGGTCTTTTAAAGGTTGAGGTTGCCTGTTCAGGGGCTCGGTGGTGGTGGGAGGAAAGGGAAGAGACCATTGCTCTTGCTTCTGGAGCAAATTTCTGGAGTAGTCAGAATAGCAACTCAACATTTTAATTTTAAAACTCCTCCGGAGATAACCTTGTGAGACGGACATTTTATTTGTCCGAGGCTGCCGAGGTAGGGAGTTGCAGAGTGCTACTCAAGCGCAGCAGAGCCATAGGAACGTTCATTTGCAAAATGCTCGCCTTCGACCCAGAAGCAGCTGAAGACAATTGTTCATGAATCCATGGGCTCAGCAATTCTGAAACACACAATTCTGTCATTGAATTTTCTGCTGACAGTGGAGTCTGAGGGTTCCACCATGCTAGGTGTCAGCCTAGTATAAATATTAAAAAACAGTACTCATTTGGCTGACGGTGTGTTCTACTTAGCAGCAACCTATAGGTTTTTTTTTTTTTCTTTTTTGCTCCAGGAATAAATCTGTCCAAAACTCATCTGCTGAATTGGGATCTATGAGCTTTTTAATAAGATTTTTGAAAGGGAATGGAAAATTTACAGCTCCATATAGATAGCCTGACGTGAAAGTTAAGGTCAGTGGTGTTTTGTTCAGCCACTCCATCCAAGCCGAACCCACGGGCGGGGATCTGTTTCGTTCTCATTTAACAGTGCTAAGTTCCAAACATTCTCTTAGGTATAGTCTTCTAATCTAGGGCCGGTATGACAAAGTTCTGTTTACCGTGTAGGTACTTAATACATATTATGATGATTTAAGATGTAGTTGGTCCTTGAGATGGTGGCGTGTGCTCTAACCTGGTCCCTCATTCAGGGTTTCTTGTCTCAGGGAAAAGCACCACCTTATCCCAGTGGTGTCAGTCAGAATCTTGGGAGTCATCCTTGAATCCTCTGTGTCTTCCGTCATTACTCATAATGAATGCAAGACCAGGTCCTATCAATTCCGCTTCTTAAATATTTCTTGAAGCCATCCATTTCTCTCTCCATGGCCACCACTCCAATCTAAGCCCTTGTTATGCCTGCTTAGACTACTGAAAAAGCAGCCTCACCCTCAACCAGTGTGCTCTTTCAAAACATGCGTCTGTGAGACCGTCAGCCTTATCTCTGTCGTGGACAAGGAGGCCCTGCAGTCTGGTCCCTGTCTCTCCCTAGCCTCATCTCGAAGCCTTCTCCTTGCTCCTTGTTCTCCAGCGTCCTAGCCTCCAATGGTCAGCACAGAGTCTCGGTGCATGCAGTTTCCTCTTTGTGGGAGTCTTTCCTGCTGTCTTGGTCTCATTACCTTCTACTCATCCTTTCTAAATCAGCTGGAGTGTTGTTTCCTCATGGATGACTTCCCTGGTCTCCTGGTCTAAGAAGTGCTCTCTATTTATTTATTTTGACATGGAGTCTCGCTCTGTCGCCCAGGCGTCAGTACAGTGGTGTGATCTCGGCTCACTGCAACCCCATCTCCCAGGTTCAAGTGATTCTCCTGCCTCAGCCTCCTGTGTAGCTGGGACTACAGGTGTGCGCCACTACGCCCAGCTAATTTTTGTATTTTTAGTAGAGATGGGGGTTTCACCATGTTGGTCAGGCTGGTCTTGAACTCCTGACCTCAAGTGATCCTCCTGTCTTGGCCTCCCAAAGCGCTGGGGTTACAGGTGTGAGCCATCGCGCCCGGCCGAGGGTTCTTTATTGAGTGTTCTTACAGCCCCGTGCTCCTTCCCTTCATGGTGCTTACATCAGTTCACAGTGTCTTCCTGTTGCTGTTTCTTGATTAATGCATGTCTCCCTTATGAGAGTATCAACTGTACAGGTTCAAGATGAATGATGAAGATAAATCGTAATAAAATATATTTGTTGGATGAATAAATGGCTATTTACTTATTGAATGTTTAGCTAGAGGAAGAAGAACCCACTGGATACATTCGATTTGAAAAATTTCTTCCGGTGATGACAGAAATACTACTAGAAAGAAGGTAAGTAAGTAAATGCAATTGTTAAGGCAAAGTAATGCTCAGAATTCATTCAGAACGCTTGGCTCTTTCACTTTGTATATTATGCTCAACCAATGTCTCCTAAGGTGGCCTCCTTCTAACCTTTCTAGATACTTCTGAACTACCAGTTGGTACATGCTTAGAAATATCAACCACACTCGTGTTAACCTTAGCGAAGCATAATTAGGGGGCAAATAAGCTGCAAAGATCATAAGTCAACATTCTTCTGTTTTAAATTATCAATGATAAATAAGAATCCTCATATTTTTCTAGCACAAATATAGCATTAGCTTACCAGAGTTGGTTCATCATAGAAGTCTTGTGCCCACATAAATTGATTTCCAAAAAGCTAATAGATAACCGCAAACATGTCGGTGATTTTGCCCTAAGTATTTCCTGTGGGGTTGAGGTATCTTCCACTTTCACATCCAGAAATACGACACGATTTCAGTGAGGCAAGCGCTACCATCCCAGTGTGTTAGCAGCTTTTACTTTTTTGTTTATATTTTTTGAGATGGAGTTTTGCTCTTGTCACCAAGGCTGGAGTGCCGCCACGCCATCTCAGCTCACTGCAACCTCTGTCTCCCGGGTTCAAGCCATTCTCCCGCCTAAGCCATTCTCCCGCCTCAGCCTCCCAAGTAGCTGGTATTACAGGTGCCCACCACCACGCCCGGCTAATCTTTGTATTTTTAGTAGGGACGGGGTTTCACTGTGTTGGCCAGGCTGGTCTTGAACTGCTGAGCTCAGGTGATCCGCCTGCCTCAGCCTCCCAAAGTGCTGGAATTACAGGTGTGAGCCACCACGCCTGGCCCTAGTTTGTTTTATGTGGTCATTTAATCATTCCAGTGGTCCCCAACTACCAGGCCGTGGACTGGTACCAGTCCCTGGCCTGTTGGGAGCCGTGGACCGCACAGCAGGAGGTAACCAGCAAGAGAGTGAGCACTGCCACCTGAGCTCCGCCTCCTGTCAGAGCAGCGTTGGTGTCAGAGTCTCATCGGAGCACAAACCCTATTGTGAACTGCACGTGGGAGGGATCTAGGTTGTGCTCCTTACGAGAATCTAATGCCTGATGATCTGAGGTGGAACCGTTTCATCCCCAAACCATTCCCCCCACCCCGGTCTGTGGAAAAATTTCCTTCCATGAAACCAGTCACCACTGCCAAAAAGGTTGGAGACTGCTGATTTATTATGCAGAGACTATGGTAAATACTATGGCACTGACTCAACTTATTGCATAATTATAGATACAGACCAATTCCAGAAGATGTCCTTCTTCGAGCTTTTGAGGTATGTAAACTCCAGCTTATATACATATACATGTATGTAAATACCGATATTTATATACACACATGTTTATGCTTATTTATGTGAAAAATTCATCATGTAGAACTTGCGAAATGAAAAAATATAATATCTATCTTTTCTTTTCCCCTAGGTTTTAGATACAGCTAAACGTGGGTTTCTTACTAAGGACGAACTGATCAAGTATATGACTGAGGAAGGTAAGCATGATTTAGTGCTTACAGCAGTGACCTACCTGAGGAATTAATAATTTGTTAACAGTCATGTGAAAGTTATGGGGAGACTTTAGAATCAGTCATTCTGGTGGAAAGTTATCTACTGTTCCTACTGTTTTGGTTTGGGGATTGTTTCTGTTCTGTGGGGGTTAAGAGGAGCAGGGTGAGGGGAGCTGTGTTGTTGTCTCATAGGATTTTGTAAAGTATAATGATTACTTCTGTAATTGCAGTCATTCTGAATGGAATTTTCAGAATAAAAGATATGCCATCTGGAAAACATGCACTATCAATCACTGTAAATGAAGGGCTCTTCCTAGATTGAAGATCTGAATAGGAGTCTATACAAATTTCCTTCTTTTTTTGTTTTTTTGGAGACAGAGTCTCACTCTGTCACCCAGGCTGGCGTGCAGTCTCAGCTCACTGCAACCTCTGCTTCCTGGGTTCAAGTGATTCTCCTCCCTCAGCCTCTCGAGTAGCTGGGATTACAGGTGTGGGCCACCATGCCCAGCTAATTTTTGTATTTTTAGTAGAGATGGCCAGGCTGGTCTCAAACTCCTGATCTCAGGTGATCCACCCATCTTGGCCTCCCACAGTGCTGAAGGAATTTAAAAATTCCTTTTTAAAAAGCTTTTCTGTTGGCGAAGTTATAGATAATACAGCCTCAATTTAATATGAGGTCATTTTTAACACTAAACATTTTCTGTTTTAATGTTAATGGAACCATATATATTTGCTTTGAACATGGCCCTTCATACACATGCATATACACACATAATACCTGCACACTTATATATGCCAACATGTTTCCTTGGGAATTCTCTCTGCTAGGCTGATGTGTACGTTTGTTTTCCCTGAAGGTCGTCTCCTGAAACCATCCTCATACTGGTCACCTTGCCTTCCCCCGTATAGAGCTAGAGCCCTCTGGTTCACAGACTGGGTCCTGAATGACTCAGAGTTGCTAATCACTTGAGACAGAATCAAAAGTGCAAGTAATCTGGAGCAGGGAAAGCTAAGACTGCATCTACGTGCACAACTGGTCTGACCATTCCAGCTTGATCCACCATTGGGGGGAATACAGGGAGTGAGAGTAAGAATGACACCACATCATAGCTGCCACCCAAGAACTCTTACGCCATTGTCAAAATGATCTGAGGGATTAACTTTGATGGGGATGTTATGACTTTCAAAGCATCAGCTTCTTAATCCTAAGGATTAGTTTAACGAAAGTAAATCCTGGGTTACATATTAGGCAACATGAATTTAGTCAAAATGGCCAAAACAGTTCGATGTTCCTACCGTCGTGTGCCTACTATGTGTTTCGTATTCAGTAAGTGTAGGAAGGTATAATGACACTGAAATCGACTCCCTCTTGCAAGGATATTACAATCTTATTGGGGAAATAAAAGTAACATAAAATAGTGACAATGGAAGACGATAGAAAAATAAATATCTGAAGATCAACCAGGGCCAGACCAGCCTGGAAAGCTTGGTCTGGAAGACTTAAAGAGAAAATAGGTTTTTTGAGATGGTAGAGTGTATATGGTTAAGTTGTTGAGGGCAGAGGTAGACTCTTGTGCATTATAATTCTCTCACGTACAGTAGAGGGAGACGTTGTAGGTGTGTAAAACAGTCTGAACACAAATTGAGAGGTAGGAATGAACATGCTATTTCAGAGAGAAAATAAGCCTTGCTGGACCCGAGGGTGATGCTGGCAAACAGCAGGAAATTAACTTCAGTAGATTGACTGGGACTAAATTGTGGAGTCCCTGGGTCAGAAGTTTGGAATTCATCCTGTGGGCAATGGAGAAGTATTACAGGCTTTTGAGCGGATGAATCACATGGTGTGTGAGTGATCATGAGAAGGTTTTTCTGGTGCTGGTCGGTTTGTTAGATGTGTGAGAAAGAGGTTGGACTAGGGAGACCAGTTAGAAGATTATTTCAGCATTCTGAAGGCACCCAAATAAGGGCCTAACCTGGCAATGGCAATGGGAATGGAAAGAAGGGATTGATACAGGAGTGTCTGGGGCAGAATCCATGGGTCATGATGACAGAGCGTAGGAGACAAAGATGAGAGCTGAATCAAAAGTAACATCAAGGCTTTGCCCTTGAGCACAAGAGTTACGGTAATGCTCCTGACTGAAACAACAAAGTCAGAACAGACTGCAGTGTATACAGAGACGGTGCGCTCATGTGGTTTACCCGGAGGAGCTGTGTGATAATTGCCAAGATGGTATGTTTACAGGGAGTTCATGGTACTTAAAGATCAACTGTTGAGTCTTTCAGTGGGCTAAGCATGGGACGGGTATTTTGAAATAAGAATATATATGATTTCAATGATTCATTCAACAAGTATTGTTACAAACCTTCCACATATATGAGCCAGTATGTTTGGAAGTAATATATAAAATGTAAATACTAAACAAATCTAAGTTATGATTTAATGTAACAGACCCATCAGCTAAGTGTAATAGCAGTTGACTAGTTTGGTAAACTAGTAGCTTAAGAATTGTTGCTTTGAGAGTCTCAGAATTCTACAAATTGTTTTTAAGTACATTTATGCCATATAACAATATGGATTAAAGTTACTTACACGGTCTTCATAATATCCGCCAAGCATCAAACACTAGTTTGAGAATATACATTCTTACTGCCCAGAATGTCATATGATAAACAAAATAAATCACATTGAAACAAGTTCCTAGGAGATAGAAGTCCGTAAGTGTCCAGCAATGTGTATTGCATCATCTGGTATTTAGCAGCAGGGAAGATCTCAGAACAATTTTTTTAAAAAACACTTACCTGTTGCTGCTTCTGTGCCAGGTACTGTTCTAAGTACCATTCAAATACTAACACGTTGAATTCTCTTGACAACCCTGTGTGATGGGTAGAATTATTATCATCCTCATTTTAGAGACAGGTAAACTAAGGTATGGCGCAGTTAACTGACTTGCTCAAGATCTTAGAGCTAGTAAGAGGCAGCCAGCATTTGAATCCAGACTTGTGCTTTTAACCATTAGATTATTTTCCTTCCATCTTTAATCACATACTGGGGCTCCAAGTTGATCCTTTGGGAATTTCAGAAGTTTTCATCTAAATAAATAACGTTGTTCATGGTGTCTTTTTGTCTTCCTGCTGCCTTGCCTGAAATGATGTGTTCTAAGGTTGCTTGATCTACAACATCTGCAGGCGAGAAGTCCAAAATCTGCCAGGGTATACACTAGCCTTTGCTGTGAACCTCCCGACTGTCGTGATGTGCTGGCTCTGCAGCTGCAGGGAGAGGAGCTAGTGACTTTGTGGGGATTTGTGGGGCTCCATGGCTATTAAGCTAGCTAGCGGAAAGAGAAAGAAAAAAAATCAGATGATCATAAATGATACATTTTCCTTTTTGTCTCTCCAAGGTGAGCCTTTTTCTCAAGAGGAAATGGAAGAAATGTTGTCTGCTGCAATTGATCCAGAATCAAATTCAATTAACTACAAGGACTATATATCAATGATGGTGATAGATGAAAATTAAATGTTCTAAAGATAATTTCTAAGTAAAAGGACAATTGTAGAAATTGCTTGTCCTTGTTAATTTCACATCTTCTCTCATGATTCCTATATGTGATATTTAATATCTTGTGACATAACTATTTTAAGATACTTTGTTTTTAAAATAGATAACTATTTTAAATAGATAACTTAAAATAGATAACTATTTTAAGATACTTTTGTTTAAAGATGATCATAACACTTTAAAACAAATTTAGTATGTCTAGCTTTACAGAATGATATGTTACTATTTATTTAAAAACAATTCTGTCTGGGCACGGTGGCTCACACCTGTTAATTCCAGCACTTTGGGAGGCTGAGGCGGGCAGATCACAAGGTCAGGAGTTCGAGACCAGCCTGGCCCACATGGTAAACCCCGTCTCTACTTAAAAAATACAAAAATTAGCCAGGCATGATGGCAAGTGCCTGTAGTCCCAGCTACTCAGGAGGCTGAGGCAGAAGAATCACTCGAACCCAGGAGGCAGAGGTTGCAGTGAGCCGAGATCGTGCCACTGCACTCCAGCCTGGGCAACAGAGCAAGACTCAAAAAAAAATAAATAAATAAAATAAAAACATTTTAACATTAGAATGGATCATTGTTTATTTTCTACAATAAAACTCAGGTTACCTTCAAATTAATTAAGCAGACAAAATGAAAGTGATTGTAGTGACCCCAGGTTTGGCATATAAAGATCTAAGAGGGGGCAGAATGACCACCAATTGAAAATGAGTAGCACTACGATGGCTTCTTTTTTAAACAATAACAAACACTTCATCAGTCTGAGTGTGGAAGGAGATTTATCAAAATAAATACTAATAATTGATTTTCTATGAGTGCCAATTACAAATACCATTTGAGATTATAATAACTTAGTGTAAAAATTAAAATTTGCTGATCCAGTGTGACACCATTTATGGAGCAGCTAAAGGAGTTGAGGTCATTGAAACTAGAGGAAAGAAGGCTGAGTGGAAATGAGAATATAAGGTGGTGGCAATTCTCTCTTTGTCTTTAGAAAAGCTGTCACCCGTGCAGCGTACCTGCCATGGAATGTTGTCCTGAATACCGAGTGAGAGTGCTGAGTACTGTCGCGGTGTCGGGAAAGTGCAGCTCCTGAAAGAACAGAAGAAAGTGACCTGTGCACCTCTGAGTAAAGAGGTCACATGGAGAAGTGTAAAATACAGAGCCTCTTACAAGCAAAGGGGAAGATAAGGTAAAGGAAAATGAGCAGTTTTCCATAACTTATATATTCTTTTATAACAACACACACACACAGAGATCTCTATTTAAAGATGGCTTTTTCATTATATGTAAACATTTAACGTTGCTGTGAGCCTTCCTCAGGCATGTAGTCTTGCCCCTAGAAGAGGCAGCTGCTACCCAAGAGATTGTTTATCACTGTTCATTCATTTCTGGAAGCATTGAATGAGTGTCATTAGATAATGTGCTAGGAACCAGAGTCCCTAACTAATCCAGGTCACAGTTTAGTGAGGGAAACCTGCAAGTCAGTTAGCAGCCAATTTCAGATAGGGGCTCCTTCAGAGTACTGTGGAAATGCAGAAGAGAGGCAGCTACTCAGCCGTGCAGTGGGGGAGCTTTCTGGGGGATGAGAGGTGCCAGTGTGTAGAGAAGGCTTACCAGGACGGGAAACACGTGACTTTAACACGAGTGGTTCAGTAAGTGGGCGGCGGGGCGTAGGGCGTTCCAGCAGGTGAGCAGCAAGTACAAAAACCCTGGGGGTGTCATGAAACATGGAACCCCCTGGGAATTGAAAGCAGCTCAGTAGTGTGGAATGTAGGAGATTTGGGGGTCATGATGAGGGTGAAACTGGAGTGGCCAACGGGAGCCGTATTGTTAAGAATATCGGGGTAGGTGTTAAGTTTCAGCGTTAGAATTTGGACTTTATTCTGAAGATCACAGAGAAAGATCATTTGTAAGCGGCATGAAAAATATACTTGATGGGTCACACCTGGAAGTGAGACCAGCTTGTAGGCTATTTGGTTTGTGGGAGGGATAGACTGGGAACAGTCGAGCATGAATCCCAGGTTTCTGGCTCAGACAGACGATGGGTAAAAGTGCCATTCGTTCGGATAAGAAACCTGAGTGGGGCATTGGTAAGCAAAATGATGAGTTTGGGTGCAGACATCCGGGGACACCCAAAGGGTGACATTCGATAATCAGCTGGATATAGAAGGGAGACCTGGCTGAGACCTGGATTTTGGAACTCTCAGCAGTTAAGTAGTAATTAATCCCTTGAGAGGAAAAGAGAAGAGAGGCTAGAACGAGACCATGGGGAATGTCAGCATTTAAAAGAAGGCAGAGGAAGAGGGGCCCGCAAAAGGGACGGGGAAGGGGAAGCTCGGGCAGAGGGGAAGCTGGAAAGAAGCATCGTGGATGCCAAGCTCGGAGAGACTCGCAAGGAGGCGGCCGTGGCCATGTCAGCTGCAGTGGAGAGGAGAGGTCAGTTAAAGAGGGAAAAAGCATCCATGGGGGTCCGCAGTGAAGGTTCACTGAGGACCTCTCCCAGAGCAGAGGCTGGGGAGCAGCAGGGTGTAGAGTTGAGTGGGTTGAGGAAGGAATGGCTGTGAGAAGGCCAGAGGACAAGTTGCTCTGCAGTGAAGAGAAGGAAACAGACAGCAGCTGAGCGAGCGATTTTGGAAGATAGGAGGGTGTGGGCATGTTCACTCACAGTCCAAGAGCTGAGAGCCCCAGGGAGGGAGAAGACACGGAGAAGGCGGGAGGGCCGGCTTCCGGAGCAATGAAGGGACTCAGGAAGGAACAGTGAACCCACGCCTGTGGGCCCCACTTCACGGCCCCTGTTGTCTTCTGAGAGGAAGGTAGTAGGTTCTAGGGCTTGAAGAGAATGGTGGAATTGTGGAGTATCTCTTGTGGAAAATGGGAGAAAGAGTTGAGAAAGAGCCCATGTAAGGATTTTCAAGAAACCCTGGAAGATTTTGTGCTCGAGAGCAAAGAAGAAAAAAGGTAGATCGTCGTAGGGCTTCAGGGTTAAGGTTTTGTCATGTGGGTGAGGTGGAAGGAACCAAAGGCCGAGGGAGCTGAGGAATCTGCGAGAAAGCAGTTCTGGTGGGGTCTGTGGGGCCAGCGTGTCAGGAAAGACCCAGGCAGGCGGAGTGGGCTAACGGAGGGAGGGCTTAGAGGCTCCGGGTTTCTGAAAGGGCAGATGGCAGCTGTGGTAGCAACAGGTGGTTGTTCCTACCATTCCTGAGAGATAACATGTTTCCCTGGAAATTTCGCTTCACTCTGTTCTTAGGGTGTTTATTTTCTTCTCCTGTTTATTTATTTATTTGAGACAAAGTTTCACTCCTATGGCCCAGGCTGGAGTGCAATGGCGCAATCTCGGCTCCCTACAACCTCCACCTCCTGGGTTCAAGTGATTCTCCTGCCTCAGCCTCGGGAGTAGCTGGAATTACAGGGATGTGCTGCCATGCCTGGCTAATTTTGTATTTTTAGTAGAAACAGGGTTTCTCCATGTTGGTCAGGCTGGTCTTGAACTCCTGACCTCATGATCCACCCGCCTCAGCCTCCCAAAGTGCTGGGATTACAGGCGTGAGCCACCATGCCCAGCTTTTTCTCCTATTTATTATATGAATAAGTAGTAAGAGTGGCTCATATTCGTTGACTGTTCTGTGTTGCAGCCACTGTCCTGAGGGCTTCACCTACATGAACTCATTTAATCCTCACATCCACCCCTCGGTATAGTCGCTAGTAAGTTGCCCTCATTTTACAGGGGTGGCAGTCGAGAAGTGACACAACAGTAAGGGGCTAGATCCGCTTTTTCTAGGCTATATTCTGATACCAAAACTCCCACATGTCAGGGGTTGACAAGAATAAAGCTTATTTCTGTTTACATCTTTTGTCAGCTGGGGTCATCTGGGACTCTGCCCTGTGCGTCTTCTTTGTTCTACTCATGGCCTGCATAAGAGGATGACCACATGTGCTGCTTTGCCCGGGGTAGTCCCAGACTACACCCGTCCCAGTGTAATTATTATTTGGTCTTCTTGTTACTTTTAGAAATATTCCAGTTTAGATGATTAATGTGTGGTCATCCCATTCAAAAAATAGTGAGTGAAAGTGATGGCGAGGAATCGTCACTTATAGAGGGCTTTCTGACAGATGATTCTAGCAATGGTAACAGTGGAAGGCATTTCTTCCTTCTCCAGTTTCCCAAGATAATTTTTTTCCCAGGATAAGGTAAAATCCAGGTGGAGAACTGATGTGCCTCCTGCTTGGCCGTGCATGTCAGAATCACCAGCCAGAGATGACAATGAGCCACATGTCCCCAGGACGGGGCGGAGGCGGGGGAGCAAAGGAGTGTGGTGACCCTCAGAGCACCAGCAGACAGGCTGTTTGTGATAGGCAGTGCTTTGTGGCTGGGAAGGAGGGTGGCCGAGATAGGAACTAACCTTTGAGGTGGACACATACCCAGGGGCGTATCATTCGGCAGCGGGGGCCAGCACGGACATGCAGCGGTAAAGCACGTGCTAGCGCCCGATGCGTAAACACAGGCACCGACTTGTTTGGAGCATACAAGACAGCCCTGAGTTAAATCCTGTAAGCCGTTAAAGAACTGCAGTCTGGTGAATGAACCCTAATCTCTTGACAGTCAGGGGATGACACCATATTCTCTCTCCAAAGAGACTCGTGCACGGAAGGCGGTAGGGGAAGGGTGCCTCATAACTGCGTACCTCCCCAGGTCCCACCTTAGAGGAGTCTGTCAAACGTTCTGACTGATGTTAAACTTCACATCTTGTCTCAAGGGAATCTTCTCTGTTTAGTATCATAGTGTTGGCTTTACGGGATGCAATTAACTTTTATCTTTAGCACAAATGCGTCTGTTTCTTTTAAGGCCACCAGAAAGCGTAACAGAGGCTTCCCACAGAAATCTCATTTTATCTCCTGAGTTGCAGAATAAATGTACCTTGTTTGCAAAGGGAACACTTTTCTTTACACCCAAACCACAGCAATGTGTATCTTGCCCCTTCAGCTCACTGACCTTGCCTTCAGCATCCGATTTAAATCACCATGGCATTTCTTGACTGGGAGAGTGCTTGGTCTCTTGTGCAGGACATTTGCTTACCCTCATGCCTCTTGGCTTCTGCAGAGTCTGCCAGCTCCGCCGGGCCCCGTGGAAAGCCACCTCTGTGCTCACACTGCTGGGGAAGGTGCATGACTTCAGGCCTGAGGGTCTGGTGGTCTTGCACTCTGGTCCCGGCTTTATGTGTGACTCACTCTGGATCCTTCATTCACCCCCTGTGCACCTCTGTCTGCAAAACAGCCCAGCTCTAGTCCTTCTCCCACCTGAGAGTCCCCTTTGCAGTCAGCCAGTGTCTAAGTGCCAAATGCCTAAGAGACGCAAAAAAGAGGGTCCACCATAGCAGGCTCGCTGGGCTTATGACTGTGAGCTCAGGGCAGGAGGATTTTCTGTGGGACGGAACGTGTTTAGATCTTTCTCTCCTACCTTCCTGTCTTCCTTCCTTTCCCTTTTCTAAATCCTTCCATATGAGAAAGTTCCCTGCTTATACCGGCAGTTCCTGGAAGATGAGTATCACTACGTTACCGTTCTGGGCCACTTAAATAGACAGAGAGCCTCACGGTCGCATATGCCCGCTGCCGAGCCAGGCGTGTTTCTGAACATGTGGCTGCCAGTCACCTGCTTCAGGAGCCCCTGGAAGGAGGATGTTAGAAATGGGGGGGTGCACCATTCCAGACCCCTAAAACAGAATCTCTGGAGGTAGGGCCCAGGACACTTAATTTTTCACATTCTCGGGAGCCTTATGCATGCTTGTGTGTGAAAACCACTACCTGGGGCTCTGATATCGAATGAAAGTGTGGGATTTGGAGTTAGGCTTTGCCACGTACTGATTACATGATTGGCCCAGACATTTAATATTGCTGAGCTTCCCTGGAGGTCAAGGCTGCCGTGAGCCATGATTGCGCCACTGCACTCAGCCTGGGTGACAGAGAGAGACCTTGGCTCAAAAAAATAAAAAAACATTGCTGAGCTTCTGCGTCTTAATTTGTAAAGTGGATAAAACGGTTTTCAGGGCTGGTGTGAAGATTAAATAAAATAATAAAAGTGAAAATGTTTATAAAGCTGTAAGCGATGACAGAAATTATTATTTACAGAAAGCCAGGTGGGCAGAGAGGGAGCGAGAAAAAGAGAGAGGGTGGGGCAGGGATGGAGACCTGCTG